TGATCAGAAAGTTATATATAAAATATAAAACCACAAAAGGAAGAAATTATCCATGAAAATTAATCTGCTTTCTGGATGTGGAGGGTTTTGTAGGTATCAGAGTAATGACAGAAAAGATTACATAGATACAGGGTGAGGGGTGGGGAAAAACAAAGAACTATATAGATATAAAAATCTATGTGAAATAAACAACTCAAAAATCAACAACTTGGTTAAAAATATTTGCCACACAAATGAAAATAAGTCATGAGTCATGATTCCAAGAGCTTATAAATTCACTAAGAAAAATACTGGTAACCCCAAGAAAATTCAGAATATACAAAGACAGCAACAAATAGCTTCAATAAATAAAAGTTCAATCTGATATGTAATCAAATAAGAAAAATTTTAAAAATAATGCATACCACTTTTCATTTATCAAATTATCAAAAAAAAAGTTTGTTACAACTCAAAGGTGGCATGAAGATAACAAAAGAGAAATTATATTTTGTGATATCAGCTATGTAAATATTGATGTCATTTATCTTAGAGCAGTAGAATTATGGGAATTATATTTCTTTTTATATTTTATAATATTTAAATGTTCAAAAGTTAGCATGTTTATTTATATTTCAATTTGTTTTCTTTTTAATTATAAAAGTAACAAAAATTCAAGTAAAAGACAAACCAAGAAAGGTAAAGCATGTAAAGAAAAAGTTCCTCTTTTTTCCTGTCCTTCCTGTTGTTGTCATTCAATCTATAATTCACACATTCATTTAAAAAATACCCATTTTATGTGTATGATGTGCCAGGAAATGTGCCAGGAGCTGGGTACAATTCAGGATCAAGATAATTATGTGTATGTCCTCACAGACAGTTTTCTATGAATATAAAAGCAGAAAGTGTAAAAAAATCAACTGTTTTAAAAGACACAAAGGGGAGCACATCACCAGAGCTGCCCAGAAAGCTGCATTTCTTACTTTATATCTTGATTCAACAGAGAGCACACTTAATTCCTTCTTTTTTTTTTTTTTTTTTTTTTATTTATTTAGTTTTTTTGTTTGTTTGTTTGTTTATACATGCACTGGGTACAGTCAGAAGCGCAGGAGGGTGAGAGAATTCACCAGAGCCAGAGCAGGGAGCAGAGCAGGCAGAAGGACCGAAGTACACTGCTGAGGGAAGCAGCGGGCGGCAGGAGAGGTCTGCGCGCCATGTGGGACCCTCCTCCAGTGGCCGGGGAGCAGCCGGGGATTGAACCGGCGCTGCAGAGGCCGCGGGCAGCTTCGCAACCCAGCGCTCAACCGCTGCGCCACCGGGGAGGCCCTTAATTCCTTCTTAACAAAAGTCTATTCCATCTACCTAAAGGACACAAAATTTTTTTTATTTAAATAATAAATTTTATTTTTATATTCCCCACATAATTGCAACCCCCCATTCTGACCCCAATCCCTTCCTTCCCGCCCCCCACCCCCCAAAAAGTGTCTCTGGTTCACAGTTTTTTGTTGATTTTGATTTTCACTTATAGTTATTCATTTTCCTGGTCCCTTATTTAAGTTTTCTAGATTCCTGCTATGAGTGAGACTATCTGGTATTTTTCTTTTTCTTTCTGGCTTATTTCGCTGAGCATGATCCCTTCCAGCACCATCCATGTTGCTGCAAATTGCATGTGTTTATCTTTTTTGAATGCTGAGTAATATTCCATGGTATATATGTACCACATCTTCTTGATCCAGTCATCTATTTTTGGGCATTTGGGCTGTTTCCAAAGCTTAGCTATTGTAAATAGTGCTGCTATAAACATAGGGGTGCAGGTGTTCTTTGGAATTGATGTTTCTGAGGACACAAAAATATTAATTTGAAAGGAAACCTGCACTCCTATGTTTATTACAGCACTATTCACAATAGCTAAGATATGGAAACCACCAAAATGCCCCAAAACAGATGAGTCTATCCAAAAGATGTGATATATATGCACAATAGAACAATACTCAGCAGTCAAAAAGATAAATTCATGCATTTGCAGCTACATGGATGGAACTGGGAGGAATTATGCTCAGTGAAATAAGTAAGAAGGAAAACAAAAAATATTGGATAGTTTCACTTATAGCAGGAATATAGGGAAACCAAACAAAGGGTTAGAGAAAAAAAAGACAAAACTAGCAGACATATTAGAGATCCTATGGTGATGGTTCACAGGTTAGGTGGTGATGGGAGATTTATAGGGATTACACCTGAGAAATCAAATATTGTACAAAGAAGATGTGAGAAAATAAAAATTTTAAATTTTTTTTTAAAAATAACCTAAAAAAAGTCTATTCCAACGGGATTGTGTTTTTACTGTTCTTAAGTGGATCACTGTAATTGTTTTGAAAATATTTTTAAAATAGTAAATGCTTCCTTCATTTCTTTCACTAAAAAATTCCAGATGCAGCAAATAAATACATATTAAAAGTAAAATTAGTGAAGCCCTAGCAGATGGCACAGGTAAGTTTACATAATATTTTCAAAGCCATAAACAGTATTATTCTCATAAACAAGGAAAACAGAAGATGCTAATTATACAACCTTTACAAATATAGATTTGGAAGGATTATATAAATGCTCTGTTCTTCCAGGAACCTTCTATCTTATAATTTATGACATGCTTCATATGTTTTACAGCTGAGCTGGAACTCAGTAAAAATCTCAATTGTAACTTCTTTCCCAGGAGAACTTAATGATATTAAGTTCTCGCCTCATTGCTTTTCAATGAGTCGAAAGCCTGAGAATAAAGAGAGAATGCACTTCTAACATCAGTCACCCTCCTTGCATTGGCTACGAAAGGAAAGGGCTTCATCAGTGGGTGAGCTCGCAAAGCATGGATTATATAATTTCTTATAGTCACATTGCACTGAGATATTTGAGGCTGAATTCACTCATCTCCTCATTGACTTCTGATACAGGAGACTATGTTAATCTTCATTGTACAGCTAGGAAATTAGTTCAAGAACTTAGTCTCATAAGATATTAGTAGTAGTCTTCTACCTTCTGTCTTCAAGCAAAATCACTGTAAATGATCCAGAAATGTCAATCTTTGCTATTTTTTAAAATTCCAATAAAGAAAATTCAAACAAGTAGGTTTATTTCTATGTACTTTAGAACTTTTTATCTTAATACTTAAGTCAACAACCAAGAAAGCTGATCTTGTAATACTTTTATAGTGATACCTGCAAAGATTCTTCCACTGAAGGATTCACATCTTCTTGATTTCTCAGAAGATCTAAAGCAGACTTGGTTTCTGCCTCCCAAGTTTCCACTTGTCCAATGAGTTTTTCAACCTCTTCAGACACTTTTACTTGCTCTGTGACTTCTTCCTTTTCTTTTTCATGTTCTTCCCCAGCCTACAAACATTTAAAATTACCACTAAGAAAATGGCAACATTTACATTTTGAAATAATTGTCAATTTTAAGAAGTTATACCCTCTTTTCCCTAAGAATACTAGTTTTCACTAAGAATACTAGTTCAGTAAATTTTAATGATTTAAGACCTAGTTTGGGGACAATGATAGTAAAATTTTATGAGTATATATCACGTTAGAAATTAAAAGTTATTCAAAAGTTATATTTACCTTAATTATATTATTCCTATCAGATAGGAAAATTAAAGTTTAGAAAATTAGTATATTGACTCTTTAAACACTTTTTAAAAGCTTTCACACAATTTATTTAAATACAGCTATTGGCAATAGCAGCTATGAAACATCTTCAAGAAGACCATTAAATTTTTAATACAGGGCCTCCCCGGTGGCGCAGCGGTTGAGCACTGGGTTGCAAAGCTGCCCACAGCCTCTGCAGCGCCGGTTCGATCCCCGGCTGCTCCCCGGCCACCGAAGGAGGGTCCCACATGGCGCGCAGACCTCTCCTGTCGCCCGCTGCTCCCCTCAGCAGTGTACTTCGGTCCTTCTGCCTGTTCTGCTCCCCGCTCTGGCTCTGGTGAATTCTCTCACCCTCCCGCGCTTCTGACTGTCCCCAGTGCTTGTATAAATAAATAAATAAATAAATCTTTTAAAAAAGAAAAAAAATTTTAATACACTTATCTTTTACATTAATTAACCTTCAATATTCTATAGGTTGATATGATAGAGCTTTGCTTGGGAAACACATTCTTAAAGTTGTTTTAAATCAGTTAGCATTTTAAATGCCTCAGAAGAATAATCTACTCTAAAAGGAGACGGCACAGATTCATATCTTTCAAGATTTTCTCTGAGTAGATCTTGTCATGGTGGGAAAACACTGGCACTCCATCCTGGCAGGAGCCAAAGCCAGGTAACAATTGCCTTCTTAAGTTAAGCTGTATAAATTATCATTCTGAAGGAGGCCTGTTTTCCAAAACCGTAAGTACCATACCTTACACGTGTATGCTTCTTTTGTTCCTTTTCCACATTCATATCTATAATCTAAAGTCATCTTCCAAATTACTCAACAAAGCAACAAACAAAAATTATATGTTTCCCTCTTTACAGAAGGAAGCCAGACAGACCAGGGGCTAGCCAGTTGCTAGAGAATTTCTGGGAACTAATCAGATTTAGTCTGAAGACTTCCACTTCCACAGTCAGAAGTCATGACTGTTCCCATGTTTGTGGAAATCTCCTGTGAGTGGGATACAGGACTTTTAACTACTTCATGAAGGTGACCACTTAAGCATTTTCCTGGAAAATTATCTAATTATTCATCTGATTCAACAGTATGGTGTTCTAAAAGAAAAATAGTAAAGTTAAGCTATTTCTATATGCAGAAAAAATACATAAAGTATAACTATTTTACCTTTATATTTTGATTGTGATTTTCAGGACATTCTGTTGACATATGCACTGAAAAATCAACATCTGGCTTTTCTTCTTTAGATTGTTGGATATTTCCAGAATTGTCAAGAATGGGTTGATGCTGTTTTTTTATAAGTGGCAGATTCATTTCCTATAAATAATTTTATGAAACTTAATGATCTTTTTTATGCTAAGGTATATTATTATACACAATGTTATTATAAACAATACATGAATAATGAATTCAATAGTTTTTGAATTTATCAATGAATGACAATGTTATAAACTACGAGGATTTTCCATAAAATGTCTAAGAATAAGAAATCAAATAACTGAAGTTTAAATTATTTCCTAAAAATTTACTTTTATGAGACACTATGCTAAACAAACTTCAGTGTCTAGTCTCAAAGAGCTTGCGATATAGTAGGCAAGAATACTCATGCTATTCTTCAATGGTAAACCAATTTTTTTAAAGATTATTTATGCATACAAGAACTGGGGTGTAGACCAGAGATGTGGAGTGGAGTGGAATGAGAGGGTTCACCAGAGAGAGTAGGGATCAGAACAGGCAGATCTACTGAAATATACTGCTGAAGGGAGCAGGTACTGTACCATCTGGGTTAGCTCCCAGGCCAGCAGGGGAATGGAACTCATGCTGCAGTGGCTGGGATAGCTTGATAGAGCTGTGACTTTAACCCCTGCACCACCAGGGAAACCCCAAAGGTAAACCAATTTTAACTAAAGAGCTGTACGATATATCCACACAGACATGTACAAGAATATTCCTAGCAGCATTATTAATAATAGCAAAAAAAAAAAAAGTGGAAAGAAAGCAAATGTGTGGTACTGATTTAAATCACTCATGATTTAAATGACTTAAAAAATGTGGTATAAGCATATAATAGACTGCCAATCGAAAGGAAATACTGCTACAACATGAGTAGCTGAACATCATACTAAGTGAAAAAAGTCAGACACAAAGACCACATATTACATGATTCCATTTGTGTGAGCTATCCAGAAAAAGTAAATTATAAAGAGACAGAAAGTAGATTAGTGGTTGCCTTGCAATGGGAGACTGAGAGAAAGCAGGGAGAGATGGCTGAAATGGGCCTGTTTCTTTAAGAAGTGATGCTAATATTTTAAAATTGGCTATGGTAATGGCCACACAACTCTGAACATACTAAAAATCACTGAGTTATACAATTAAGTGATTGAGTGATACAGTACATGAATTATATCTCCAATAAATACTTTACCAAAAAAAGAACTTACAAGTTGAGTTTTGGTAATAAACTTTCTCCATCTTTTATTCAGTCTTCTGAGTTCTTTAGAAATAGATGATTCAACTTCCTCATTGCTGACTTGAATTAAGAAAGTCGCCATTTCATTTAAAGTAATATGGTGTAGATTCCATTGGGATAGTGTCTCAAAGGGAACCTGCATAACATAAAAGTAATGTCACATTTAACGACGTAAGATTTGTCCTCTAGAAACTCGGGAAGGTTTTAAATCTCGTAATATTCACCCAAATGGAAAAATGAAATATTTTAAAACATGAATTTATTTTAAATGTGTCTATAAGCTATCCAGCACTCCACATCTTTTATTTCATTTTCTAGAACTTAGTAATATATATTCCAAAAGCTATAATGTTTCTGTAAATTATGCTTCCATAAAGTCCTCTCCCTTCCTTCCCCCTCCCCCCCCCAACTTTATTAGGAAGACACTAAACTCTTTGCAAAACTTTGGAGAGGTTTTCCAATACTTTTGCTTACTCTTCCCTGCCTTCTCATTTTTGCATGAACAATGAGGGTATCCAAACAAAATGGGGGCAGGGAGGGCGGGGGACAAAGTTGCCATTAGACTACAAATACCTCTTTAATCTGCTCCTTCTTTGTCTCCTCAAAACAAGCTTTTAGTAAACGGAGGTTTTCCATATAAGTAACCCAACACTGTAGAACTTTTTGTAGAGTGGACTTGATATCAAATATACTTTTTCTATATGTACAAAGATTATATTCCACTATGCCATATTGTTTACTAATATCCTGATATTCGCCACCTATAATGTTAACAAAATAGTTATCTTAGAAAAGTTTATTAATAAAAGCACACTGTTAACTAAAATATATGCATATTTATTGACAGTGGAAAAGTAAATATGTACGCTGACAATATTAAAAGTGAATGCAAGATTTTTCCAGAGAAAACACACATGTAAAACTAATTTCTAAAACACTAGATGTGTAAAGAAAAAAAAAAACAGAAGAAATGATATTTATAAGTGTTGGTCATCCCATTAAAAAGTAACTGTATAACATTACCCAAATTCTTATGACTTTCATCACATTTTTGAAAAGAAGTTTCAAGTTGAGCTAGGACCTCTTTTTCTTCAATAAATTTCTGTGAGTGGGGGAGGAAAAAATTATATTAACAGTTTTTAATGTAAATGTGCCGAGAAATCTAAAGGCAAGATGAAGCTCTTGAGTGTCAACATTTCTTTCACTTTACTACTACAAATTTCAGTAGGAAAAAATGAGCAGCCCCTGAGGATAGCTAATCGAGGTCCAGAAGACACAACTACAATGAAAACATTACCTAGGTACAAGCCTGACAAAGGTTATCTTAATGTGACATGGTTTTGTAATGGTCTTTCTCTCTGGAGAAAGGGTAAGTTAAGTAATTACAGTAATTTCAAAATTTCCTCCTTTATGTATTTATTAATATTGCATAATTTGTAAGTTTCTTATTTCACATATTTTATTAACATAAATAATTTATATTAGATATACTAGTTATATTAGAAAAATACCACCCATTGCCACAAACTTTTGAGAAACTTCCATTAACCAAATTGTGTCCCATGCAATCAAATTCCGCTACAGAGAAATCACAGAAGTAATTAAAGCTCATATTCACTGTGGAATTATATATATGCCTGTAGTATGATCATTTAAATGGAAAAAATCAAAGAGAACAAAAGAAATAAAAATATTCAAAATCTAGTCTAGTTTAGACTGATGCTTCCTGTTTAGGAAAGAACAGTGATTAAATCATAAATTGTAAATGAATTTCCCTTGTCATGTTTTTCAGCTTTTGCGCTGAATTTACAACCTCAAATTTTCTTTTTTAGCCCTGATTGCACAAAGAAGAAACAAAAAAAATGACAACAAGGTCTGACTGTAGAAATGACACTTGTAGGATGCTTTCACTTTATTTAGTGTACACGTTTGTATTTAAATCATTTGCAACATCTTTTCCTATAAATTGCAAGAACTAAAACTCCCAAAGTCTCAATACAAAAGGTGCTACTTTTCCCTTTCTTGAAATCAAAGAGACCAAGATTGAAATGTTCTAAATGAAATTTAATTTTTGAATGAAATCATGAATCTGAGAGGGAAAACATTAAATAAGATGTCAGATAAGAGCAATTAGGAATTTCTAATGGAAATAACATTGAAGCTTTATTGTGTAAATTATCTGGCTAACTTTTAATCTCCCATAGGGTGGTAAATAATGCTTTCTTTTTTACTCTTCCCTATGTCTGATTTATGACTTGTAATTCTTTTCTCCAGGCAATCCTTACACTAATGAAATCTACCAAGAAAACCATTTCAAAACCTGATAATGTAGAGGGAAACTGTACCAGTGAAAAATATGACCTGGCTCCCAGACATGGAGAACAGCTTCTCAAGACAGGAAATAAAGCAGCTTACATGCCAGTCTTCCAGCAGTAATTCCACAGATTCTTTGGTCCCATATTTGATGTTCCAAACACCCAATTTTGATTTCACTTCATCTAGCAAGCCAAGTACTGAGCACTTATAATAATGAAATTCTAGAAGTGGAATGAATTTTTTTCCTGAAATGTTGTTGATCCTGGAAAACAGTAAAGGTTTTAGATTTCAATTTAACTTTATTGATCAAAAGTAAGCTATCAGTTTGGAATTTTTTTTTTTAAATATTGGAGCTGTAATTTTTTGTTTTAAGCACAGAAGACTCAGATATCTCCTTAACTATTTTTTTTAAACAAAGTAAGACAAACATGGTTGAAAAGTTCTGTATAGCAATGCCACTATAATTTAAACATTTACATATTAAAAAAGCTTTCTCTAGTAAGGCTAACACCATCTTACTATCATTCTAGTAAGCTGCTTATGAGTAATGACAAAAGACAATGTGGATAGCCATCAATTAAGTGATCTCTGTACTCGTGGTATTGTTATTAGAGGGGAGGAGCAACACAGCACAATGTCGTACACCATTTTCCTGCCCCCCCCCCACCACTGCATTTGCCTTGGACTACAAGTCCCAGTGTGCAATGCAGAGGAGATACTGGGAGCAGGCGGCAGAGCTGAGCACTCCCAAGATAACATGCAAGGCAAGGTGGCCTGCTCTTCTCTTGCTTCTGGGACCTGACTTGCCCCAGGGACTAAGGGAAGAAGAACTGGAGCATATGTGTGGAGGAACAACATGTAGAGACATTTGAAAGAGGACCCTGGATGAGAGGTATGTGGGAAGGCTGAAAATGGCAGCCTTTATCTTGATTTGTACTTTAATTTTGCTTCTTTGGTCTCAGACTTACCTGGCCCCTTTGGCTCTTTGTTTCTCCACCAGAAAGTGCTTTAGATTTATAGCAAGATTTTGGGCCTCAATGACTCTACTGCAGGCTGACCCTATTTGACTGGGTATTTGCCCACAAAGGGATGGGTAATTTGGAGAATTTTATTGGGAAACCCATATCAAGAATGCTCTTCTCTCTGTATATACACTAATTTTATTAAAGATCTTTCACACTAAGAGTCAGCTTTGCCTTTGTGCACAAGGATGGCCAGAACCCTTTAGATCATGCATCCCATTTGTCTGGGGTCCCTGGGTACCCCTCAGGTACCTTATTTTAGAGTTTACAAAAGCCTCATGTACCTCCTCATGTTCACCCAATATCTTTGTGAGACAAAAACAGGGTGATTATCATTAACCTGTATTTACCAGTGAGGAGACATGCTCAGAAAGACAGAGCAACTCAGTCAAAACCAAGATACAGAGCTCAGTTTCTGACTTTTTCCGTCACCATATCCTACCATCCAATGAAGAAGGAAGTGTGTCAGCATGTTTTTGTTACGTAACACATCAAAGTGCTGTCATCAAATTGCAAAGAAGAAAACTTGTCAGAAGTTATCTAGAAACCTACATATTGTAGTCTGTGTAGCAACAGGTTAGTGCTCAAACAAACAGTATCAACAGTGGTGAAATGGTTGTGATACCCACCGTCTCTTCATTTCCTCCAATTTGTTAGGTGGTACCAATGGCAAATGGTCTTCACCCGTATTTTCAAATTCCAAGAGAGCATTCAAATGATAATCAAATTTATCCATCAGATCCTGAAAAGAAATTTAGCTTGATGTTATTAAAAAAGAAAATGAGGGCCTCCCAGGTGGCACAGTAGGTTGAGCACAGCGCTAGGAAGATGTCCACAGCCTCTGCAGTGCGGGTTCATTTCCCCACCGGCAGGGAAGAATCCCACATGGCGTGGCAGACCTCTTCTGTCTCGCCCACTGCTCCCCTCAGCAGTGTATTTCAGTAGATCTGCCTGTTCTGCTCCCCGCTCTGTCTCTGGTGAATTCTCTCACCCTCCTGTGCCTCTGGCCTGTACCCCAGCTCTTGTATAAATAAAAAAAAAAATCTTAAAAAAAGAAAAGAAAATGATAGGCCAAAAATTAAAGTGTTTGCGAAGACTTAATGCCTAACCTGACTGTGGCTTCAAGCCCCCTGCACTTTCAACCTCTGCCAGGAATGTAGCCCTAACTGGTCAGTATGGGATATTCTGGTCAGCACCAATGAGATCATCTTTTCAATCCCCCCAAAAGAAAATGAGAAAATCTGCACAAGACCTTTTCCATTCCCCAGAATGAGGTTACCTAGCCCTGAAATAATGTCCTCTTCCATTACATGTCCTCTTCTTGCCTATGAAAAATCTTTCATTTTGTACAGTTTTGGGGAGCATTTTTCTACTAGCTACATGGGATACTGTCTAATTCCTAAATCATTTAATAAAGCCAATTGAGTCCTTAAAATTAACTTGGTTGGATTTTTGTTACTTAACAACATGAAGCAGATTTATTGCCAAACATTGTCATTGAAGACTTGTTAATCTTTTTCCTCTATTGCATAAACTTCATCTTTAAAAAAAAAAAAAGAAGTCCCCTTTTTTCACCAAAGATTTTTAAAATATTTTCATTATAAATGGTTACACTGGAACATTTTACAGAAAGGCAGACAGCTGTCTCTAAGTATTAATTTCTAGTTTCTTATATATTGTCCATTCCTTTGGAGGCTTAAATGCTAGAAATCTCATATATCAAATTATTTCATGCGTTTTGGTAGCTATTCCAATTTCCCACATTTTAAACTAGCCTCCCTCCCCATTTGGTTTTTTTTTTTGTTTGTTTGTTTTTACATTTTGAAAGGACAGGTTTATTGGGGAAAAAAGAAAAAGAGAGGCACCTGCAGTCACAGGTGGGCAGGAGAGCTGCGTTGTGCCAGTGCCTCCCCGCCTTTTTGACAGACTGTGCAGTTGCTTTAGAATTTACAGGACTTTTGATTTTTATTATTTCAACCTTAAACTAATGCAGTGCTTATGAAGAATGAGAAGGTATCTTTCAGGTCTCAAAAATTCTCAGTAAATCATTCTAAACCATCCTCAAATACCCACTCTATTTTTCTTCCCTTCTTTCTAGGACAGTCTTCCTCAAGTATAATCTCTAACGAATTATAGTCTTTAACAAATTTTCCCATGTTGTTTTGTTCTTTTCCAACCTTGAATAAAGTCATTTTCTCTTGTATGAGAGCCATGGCTTCAGAGTAATCCCCAGAAAGTGGTAAATCTTCATCCATAAGCTCCTCTACCTCCTGGAGCCAAGCTTCAATCTGATGGAGGGGTGAGGGCAAGGCTTGATGCAGCTTTTTCCCCCACATATTAATCTAAAAAAAAAAAGGAAGATGTTCCTCAATACTCTTCTCACTTATTTCTTCATATACAGTAAGTTTAATTGTTTAAGGTTTATCTAATCCAGTTCTCTAGAAAATCTTTATTGGCAGGTAAACTTCCTACTTCTAAATATCACCTGACTACCAGCTGATTGAGAAGAGAATTAGTTTTAAAACTGTAGGAGAGGGTGTAAAGATAAAAGCAATTGTTTTGATAATCAGTTATGACACAGATATCAGAAATATTTAAAGCACCCCTGTAAACCCAAAGCAGTGATAGTGAAGGCAAAGATAAACAGCTGGGACTACATCAAATTAAAGAGCTTCTGCACAGCAAAAGAGACAATAACAAAAACAAAGAGAAACCCCACCAACTGGGAGAACATTTTTGCACCCAACACTAATGATAAAGGACTGATCACAAAAATCTGCAAAGAGCTGATGAGACTCAGCAACAACAAAGAAAATAATCCAGTCAAAAAATGGGCACAAGAGCTAAAAAGAAACTTCTCTGAAGAGGAAATGCAAATGGCCAACAGGCATATGAAAAAATGTTCAACATCACTTGCCATCAGGGAAATGCAAATCAAAACTACCATGAGATACCATCTTACACCAGTGAGAATGGCACATATTAAAAAAACTAGCAACAACAAATGCTGGCGAGGGTGTGGAGAAAAAGGAACTCTTCTGCACTGTTGGTGGGAGTGCAAACTGGTCCAACCACTGTGGAGAGCTGTGTGGAGATTTCTGGACCTACTAAACATAGAGCTTCCATATGATCCAGCAATTCCACTCCTAGGTATTTACCCAAAGGACACAGAAACATCAATTCCAAAGAACACCTGCACCCCTATGTTTATAGCAGCACTGTTTACAATAGCTAAGCTTTGGAAACAACCCAAATGCCCAAAAATAGATGACTGGATCAAGAAGATGTGGTACATATATATACCATGGAATATTACTCAGCATTCAAAAAAGATAAACACATGCAATTTGCAGCAACATGGATGGCGCTGGAAGGGATCATGCTCAGCGAAATAAGCCAAAAAGAAAAAGAAAAATACCGGATAGTCTCACTCATAGCAGGAATCTAGAAAACTTAAATAAGGGACCAGGAAAATGAATAACTATAAGAAAGTGAAAATCAAAATCAACAAAAAACTATGAACCAGAGACACTTTTAGGGGGGCGGGGCGGGAGGGGAGGGATTGGGGTCAGAATGGGGGGCTGCAATTGTATGGGGAATATAACAATAAAATTTATAAAAAATAAATAAATAAATAAAGCACCCCTGTAAGCAGATAGGTCACTGAATGACCATCATTTGAAATGTTGTAAGCTTTTTTTTCATTTGAAATGTTGTAAGCTTTTCTGAGTTCTCCGAAATCAGAACTGCAACTCACACACAGATACATATTTTCCTTACTATCCATAACCATACAGTAACATTAGATCTCTCTACCACTTCTCCTGAGTATCTGTCCTTCATTATAGCACCCCACAATCCAGGGAACCTCCTCCTTCCTTGGCCTTCCCACCACTCCCTATATGCACATGAGCCACACAGATGCCAACAACAGTCTGCATTGCTTCACCACAGGGATATCTTCTGAGAAATGCATCATTATATGATTTCATCATTGTGGGAAATCACAGACATACTTACACAAACGTAGAGTGTAACAGACTAGCCTACTACAGTCCTTAGCTAGATTAAGGACCACCGCCTTGCATGTGGTCTGTCATTGAACGAAGTACCATTATGCAGTATGTGACTGTACTTATTTCCCCCCCAAATTGACTACACCTTTATGTCTTTTATGTTTTCTCTTGCAGCCATTTCTACCTGGATTCCCCACACACACAAACTCCTGCTAAGCATTGTCAAAACTCACACACGCACACATTCATTCATTTATTGAGCAAACATTTATGAATGACCTATAGCTCTAAGAGTTCGGTATAAAGACAGGCTTCTGGGGTGGAGAGGGGATAGTCATTCACAAACCAGATACACACACAGAGCAATGTGGAGGGCCCTTAAATGTATGTTCTCAGGAATGAAAGAAAATAAAGCTATACTATCAGTTTACACAATTTAATAATACACAGGCACATGAATACTTTCCCCCAAAACAGATAATGCAAAAAGATACATATTAAACACATCATAATGGTGGTCTGAGGAGAAAGGCAAATGGAAGGGGCGTGAGGGCACAAAAGGAAACAAACGCAACTAAATGAGTGAATGAAAATAAGAATAGGGCCTTGCCCAGACCATGAATGGTGCCATGATGGAAAAATAAATTCAGCACGACCCTCTGCTTCTGAGGGTCCACCAGATAAATAAAAACCATAGCTCTTGCCTGAACCTCCTAGAAGCAAAAGGTTACAACCAAGTGTGGTCAGCAATAAACCAGGGTCAGCCAGAGGAGTGTGGGGAGGACCCTGCAGGAACACCAACTCCTTACCGACAACCAGATATCTTAAACACCTTAAAAATCCAGCTCTAAACTGGTCCAACCACTATGGAGAGCTGTGTGGAGATTTCTGGACCTACTAAACATAGAGCTTCCATATGATCCAGCAATTCCACTCCTAGGTATTTACCCAAAGGACACAGAAACATCAATTCCAAAGAGCACCTGCACCCCTAAGTTTATAGCAGCACTATTTACAATAGCTAAGCTTTGGAAACAGCCCAAATGCCCAAAAATAGATGACTGGATCAAGAAGATGTGGTACATATACACCATGGAATACTACTCAGCAATCAAAGATAAACTCATGCAATTTGCAGCAACATGGATGGCGCTGGAAGGGATCATGCTCAGCGAAATAAGCCAGAAAGAAAAAAAAATACCGGATGGTCTCACTCATAGCAGGAATCTAGAAAACTTAAATAAGGGACCAGGAAAATGAAAAACTATAAGAAAGTGAAAATCAAAATCAACAAACAACTATGAACCAGAGACACTCTATGGGGGTGGGGGGCGGGGAGGGGAGGGATTGGGTCAAAATAAGGGGGTTGCAATTGTATGGGGAATATAAAAATAAAATTAAAAAAAATCCAGCTCTAGGACCACCTCCCTTCCTCATGATCCCATTGTGGCTTTTCATCTGAACTAAGCTGACTCTTCTCTGACTTTTTGTTTGTTTTCTTCCAAAATCGTCCCAAAGAAGATCAAGCACAAATCAAAATGTGTTTCATTCAAACAACTTCCTCTAATGAAAGTAAGTGCTTTAGAATGTATTTTCTCTTTCTACTGTAGTTCTACCAAATGAATTGTACTTTTCCTAGAGTTATATTGTTCTAAGAATAGGCAAAATGCATATTCTATGGGTTATTTGATTCATCAACTTATTCAAAGACACTCATTGGGTGTCTACTACATGCAAGGCAAATATCAACCATGGAACCAAATATTCAAGTAGCAAGAAGCTAATGAGAGTAAGTTAGGCTTTTAGGCAGTCAAATGTAACTATTCATAAAAGAGAAGCATTAAATGTTAGTTTTTGCACTAGGTTTGGCTTTTCTTTCAGCTTTATGGAGGTATAGTTGACAAATAAGATAGTAAGCTATTTAAAGGGCATGTTATGGGGCCTCCCCGGTGGCGCAGCGGTTGAGCACTGGGTTGCGAAGCTGCCCGCGGCCTCTGCGGCGCCGGTTCGACCCCCAGCTGCTCCCCGGCCACCAGAGGAGGGTCCCACATGGCGCGCAGACCTCTCCTGCCGCCCGCTGCTCCCCTCAGCAGTGTACTTCGGTCCTTCTGCCTGTTCTGCTCCCCGCTCTGGCTCTGGTGAATTCTCTCACCCTCCCGCGCTTCTGACTGTACCCAGTGCATGTATAAACAAACAAACAAACAAATAAATAAATAAACATGCCTCTATTAAAAAAAAAATAAATAAATAAAGGACATGTTATGGTGATTTTACATACACACATACTGTGAAAGGATTTCCACCAGCCAATTAATAAACACATTCCTCTCGTTACATGTTTATCTTTTTAAAAATATTTTGTTGAGAACATTGAAGTTCTACTCTCAGCAGTGAGGTAGCACAGTGATAACAACTACAGTCACCATGGTTTACATTACTTCCTCAGACCTCATACTTCCTCTACCACTGAAACTATGCCCCTTCACCAACCTCTCCCTACTCGTCAAACCCCCTTGCCGGTCAATCACTTTTCTAGTTTCTGAGTTTGGCTATTCGGGGTTTTTTGTGATTCCATATGAATTTCATCAATAATTGTTCTATTTCTTTGAAGAATGACATTGAAATTTTGATTGGAATAGCATTGAATCTGTATATTGCTTTTGGAAGGATGGCCATAAAATGGAATTTTAAAAAATAGTGTAATTTAAAAGAGTGCAGAAAAAGAGAAAGAAAAACAAAGGAAATAAATAACAAACAAAAATTAAAATGGTATACCTCAACTGAACCATATCAATAATTACATTAAACATCTTAACAGACCAAGTACTCTAAAAGTAGAAGTCAGAGAGGATAAGAAAGCAAGACGAGGGGGCCTCCCTGGTTGCACAAGAGGTTAAAACGCAGCACTGTGAAGCTATCTGCAGCCACTACAGCATGAGTTCGATCCCCAATCAACACGGTGACCCACATGGTGCAGCAGACCTTTCCTGTCTCGCCTGCTGCTCCCCTTAGCAGTGTACTTCGGTCTATCTGCCTGTTCTGTTCTCCACTCTGTCTCTGGTGAATCCTCTCACCCATCCCCCTGCATCTCTGGCCTGTACTCCAGCTCTTGTTTGCATACATAAATAAATCTTTAAAAAAAAAAAAAAAAGCAAGACGAGGCATCCAAAGAACTGTGATGGAGAGTTACCTGTACTGGTGGAGGGAGTGTGGTAACATATATTTGAAGAAGTGTGAACCTGTACTCCTAAAATACATGTAGTGCTTCAAACCAATATTACCTCAATTGATATAAAGAAATCAAGACCCAATCATCTGTTGTCCAGAAGAGATGCACTTTCAATATAACATAAAGACCCAAATAGGTTAAAAGTAAAGAAGGAAAAAGCTGTGTTATACAAACAATCTGCATGAGAAGCCTGGAATGTTGCTATTAACATCAGGTCAAGAAGACACCAAAAACAACTTTTCACCTGAGAGAAAAAGTTTTTCACAGTGGCAAAAGTGTCAACTTAATAAGAAGACAGCAATCATGTTACAGTACATGAAGCAAAATTAAAGGGAGGATTCTAACAGACTTTAACACCCTATCTCAGCAGTTGATAGAACAACTGGAAAAAAGTCAAGGACACCATCAACATCTTGTCTTAATTGATACTGATAGAATATTGCACCCTAAAACTACAGAATACATGTTCTTCTCAAGTACAAATGGCCTAGGGCCTCCCCGGTGGTGCAGCTGTTGAGCACTGGGCTGCGAAGCTCTGCAGCACCAGTTCGATCCCAGACCCCGGGGGAGAGTCCCACATGGCGCACAGACCTCTCCTGTGGCGCCCTCTGCTCCCCTCAGCAATGTATTTCGTCAGTCTGCCTGTTCTGCTCTCCTCTCTGGCTCTGGTGAATTCTCTCACCCTCCCGTGCTTCCGACTCTACCCAGTGCTTGTATAAATAAATAAATCTTTTTAAATAAATAAATAAATAAATAATGGGTCCCTAGTCTCACTTTAAAAAAAAAAAAAGTACAAATGGCCTATATGTCAATATACACCATACCCTGGACCATCACACAAATCACAATGATTTTAAAACGACTGAAATCATACGGATATATTCAGACACACATGCATCCTTACACAGTCTAAGACTACCCCCCACGATCCTTGAGAGCCTCATTGGCAATGACACATGACAGTGGTCATTGTCTGCAGATCACTCAGAATGTGGATGATCTACTGTGGCAAATCAAGAATGGATGACAAATATAAAACTCTGGGCCTCCCTGGTGGCACAAGGGGTTAAGCACCACACTATGAAGCAATCCGCAGCCTCTGCAGCATGAATTCTATCCCCAGCTGGTCAGGGAGCAACCCACATGGTGAAGCAGACCTCTCCTTTCTCGCCCGCTGCTCCCCTCAGCAGTGTATTTCAGTCAGTCTGCCTGTTCTGTTCCTGCTCTGTCTCTGGTGAATCCTCTCACCCCCCTGCATCTCTGGCCTGTACCCCAGCTCTTGTATGCATAAATAAATTTTTTAAAAATACAAAAACTCTGGATAAGCCTGCAATTTCTCTAAACAGAACGCTATACATTCCTATTTAAGCATCAACCACTACCCATATAAGACCATGGGGAAAACACAGGTATAATCAATGTAACGCAGTAACCTTGGCATTGAGGCCATTCCAGGCTTCCCTCAATTGTAATTGATCTTCATTCGACTCATCCAGATTCCCTTTTGTTGACAGGACGTCCAAAAAGGGCTTTTTTTCTTCATGGAATGATTCCAAAAAGGACATCAGGCTCTATAATTAGAAGAGCAATATATACAATGAAATGTTTTAGGTTTGTTCATAAAGCATAATCTAGTAAAAGGTCTATACTTATGGGTTCTATTTAAATTTTTACTAAAATTCTCCAAATTAGGATCCTCACATTGATCTGGATTCATTCTTCTGTGCTACCTGATCATCTGGGAGCCATCACACTGACATAGGTCACAGCTTGTGTCAGTCCTATTGAATTTTTACCAGAATGGAGTGGCAAGGTCACCTAGCTCTAAAGGACAATCACAGTGCCACGTGGAAAGTGTCTTTGTCTTCACCAAATGTGTGTTCATAAAAACAAGAATGTGTGGAAGTAAGAATTATGTGACAGCTCTCATCTTGTATAAATGGGTCTTGTAGTGTCCATGCTTAGCTGAGATTACACCAATTCCTCCCAAGTCATTTTATACAGACTTCAGAATATACTTTGTCTCTGTCCTCAAAAATTTAATAATAAAGCATTTCTTTATTTGCATTTGTGTGAAATAATTGGTGTTTAAGAGTCAGCCTTTCCATAAATACTATTTAAAATATGATCCAGGGTCTCCCTGGTGGCGCAAGGGTTTGAGATGCAGCATTGCAGCACGAGTTCGATCCCCGGCCAGGCAGGTGACCCACATGGTGCGGCAGACCTCTCCTGACTCGCCTGCTGCTCCCCTCAGCAGTGTATTTCAGTCAATCTGCCTGTTCTGTTCCCCACTCTGTCTCTGGTGACTCCTTTCACCCTCCACACCTCTGGCCTGTACCCCAGTTCTTGTATGCATAAATAAAATCTTTAAATAAAATAAAATATGATCCATAATTAGCAGCATTTTAAATTAAGTCTTGTGAGTAAGCTAAGAGATAACTATTTTAATTCTTTCTGATAATTAATAACTTTACAAAGTCTTTTATTTCAGAAATTTGAATTTACAGTACATTACTAAATCAAAGACGTGAGGTAAAATACGTCCAGTGGATGCTGATCATCTTGTTATTGAAGAAAGCATCTCAGGCCAGAGCTAAGAAGGAAGAAGCATGAGAAGTCCATGCCATTCAAGTGGAAGGAAGATGAGAACGCCTAATTCCTTCCTTTCCAACAGAAAGGAAGACACACGATCCACAGAATGTTAGTGTTGGAAAGGTTGGATACATCCATCCCTCACTTAACAGATAGGTAGTGGAGGCCTGGAGATACTAAGTGCTGTGTAGGTAAAGATGGGGGAGGCAGGAATCTTCACCATATCTGGAAAGGTAATGGTGGGGAGCACAGGTTTTCATAGACAGTGGATTCTAAGGAGCAAGACTGTGGAACTTTCACTTTGGTTTCTGTTAGTCTCTTTCAAGACGCATGGTAATAGGGAATAACTGCTTATCCTGAGAAGCATCAGATGGAAAGAGAGCTAGGGCTCTGAAGTCAGATTCGTATTCTGATTCCATCCCTAGCTTTCACGTAGCTATGTAACCTTAAGATCAATCACCTAGCCCCCCTAAGTCTTGTTGTCCTCATCTATAAAACTGGAATAACAATACCATATTCTACAAGATGTTGTAACATGCAAAATGCTTGTCTAAAAGGTGCCTAGTACATAGCAAAATCTCAATATATGGTGACAATAATGGTTGTCATAATTCAATATTAATTCTGAAAAGCAGGCCCTACTCTAAACCAGGGACTGGGAACTCTTACCATGAAGGTC